TGAGGAATGGCCAAAGGGGCAGCCAGCACTGTGTGTCTTTCAGTTAAATGAATATTCCCTTATCAAGCATCCTCTTCAGAACAAGAGCAGTGATTACACACAAGCTGGGTGCGACAGGGATTGAGGGGGACAGAGTGGCAGATGTGGGCTGCTCTGAGTCCTGTCAGGGAGGAATGATTAATGAACACCAGCTCCAGCTGAGGCTAACCTTTGGAGAGCTGAGCAGGACATCTGCAGAACTGTCAGAGCTCTGACAAGGACAGAGCTGAACAACCAATTATTCCACCATCACTAAGGTGGGCTGTCAGTTTAATCCCAGCCATTCACTTAGGCAAGGACAGGGAAATTTCTCCTTTACATAGTACCACTACATGGCAACCTTAACCATTTCAGTGCTGCTGAGGGGATGCACGGGGCAACTGCATGCCTAAGCTCCACATGTACAGGGCCTAGTGTGTATCGAGTTGGTGCAGTATATGAGGGGCCAGCACCTTGACGCAGTTTTAAAATCAGCACTTCCCAACGTATCTAGAGCAATAGTGACATGTAATGACTGGTTGCTTTATAATAATTTTAAGAGAGGACAGAATCTGGCTCATTAATAGGAAGAAATTTAAAAACAAACCAATGTGAACAGCTTACTTATTCTTTGCATAAACAATAGGAAAATGGAGAAAGTTTTGCATCTTTGATAGATTGGGTGGGCCATGTGCCCAGATCCTGGCTGGGAGAGGGTGCTCATGTCTGTACCTGCAGGTTAGTACTGAACTTTGATGAACTCCTGTTGTTGGTGTTTTTACTAAAGTAAACCTCCAGTTTTGGTAAACGGGAATTTACCTCAATAAGAGCCACAGGCTCATTGTATAAAAGAGTAGAGCACCCAACATTACATTTTCCTCTGCACAATGGAGGGTTGCATAAAAGGGGTGGTATTTGAATATAACCAAGAGAGGTAGAGATTGGAGGCATTACTATTTGTTTAGTGCTAACAGTGTGTATGGTGATGTACAAAATACTAAGAGGAGCCAATACCTGTCTCTAAAAGCTTAAGAATCCAAAAGACAGTCCCACATAAGACATGACATACTGCAAAACCTAGAGGTGATGAGCTTTGGGGAGGTTGAGGAGATAAAGTTAAGTCAGATCCAGTATATTTCTTAAGCTGGGATGGCTTCCATTGTGAGATGCCATGAACTTTAAAGGCCTTAAGAAATCTTTTCAACTCAAGATTTACAAAGAACACAGCTACTCAGTTATCTGCCAGACATGAGAGCAGTTTTCTCCCTGCTCATGTCTCATCTCTTCTAGACTCTAGGTTGTCATTTTTTTTCAGAATTTTAGGTTCTGATCACACAGTTCGTGTTTTGCTGTAAAAGCATCTGTTTAAATCTGTCATGTAATGCAGGGAGCTGTCACAGGTATCTTCAGTACAACTGAGGGAAGTAGCAAGTGAACGGGAAAAATGCAGCCTGATATCTGTCCTGGGAAATAAACTACAGCCTAGTGCTGTCTGGCTGCCTTTCTGGGCCCCTTCTCTGCCTGATGGGCATTTGGCATGTTACCCGTAAAGCATCCTCTGTATTGCCCTATATTCATAGAATCATAGAATATCAGGGTTGGAAGGGACCTCAGGAGGTCATCTAGTCCAACCCCCTGCTCAAAGCAGGACCAATCCCCAACTAAATCATCCCAGCCAGGGCATATTACTTTATCCTCACATTGAATCTGGAAGTTAAGTTAAACTGAGTACCCTTTTTTAATTAGGGCACCTAGTTAGCAGCCTCTCTTCATTGGGACAGCCACTTAATCAAGATGAGAGATCATTAAAAGATAGTTTGAACAGGCTGAAAGTGAAAATAAATACTTTAAACGACAGAAATGGTTTTCATCCCATTTCAGCTTTGTTTCTGTTTTTAAAAATTGTAATTTGGCAGCTCTTGTTTTAAAAGACCAGAACTGAGAACTTTACACCTGATTAAACATCTGGTCGAATGTGTATCCATTAGGCAGAAATGTTGCTAATAAACTCCCAGTTAAGATGCAGTCATTACCATTTGTAGCACGCCCAAGGAGTTGCTTAGGAGATGTCCCAATAAAGGGTGCATTTGGATTAAGTAGGACTGTACCAATGTGGCAGCAGGAGAGTCTGATTTTGATTCCTCTGCCCATGGATTGCCTGTATAGGACACAGTTGTCTAATGAACTTGTGCATGAAAAAGTCTTTGCTTCTTACAAGCAGAAATCCTTGAAAGTTCCTGTAGAAAGTCATAGCCCAAATGGAAAAAATAACTTGAATCAGAAAATCTCACTTGCTTGAAACTTACTTTTCTGACTGAAGTGAGGCCTAGAATACACATATTGGAGCAGCGTTTCTCAAAGATGCCAGTTGCTTCTGCAAAGTTTGTTCTCTCAGGTTTGCACCCTTACAGTGAATTGCAGGTCAGACCTGAGTACCTGCATCTCCAACTACTGGTCTGTGAGTCAGCTAAATTATTCAGAAGTGAAAGTTCTCACACGTGCTCTTACAGTTTTATTTGGCATGTGCAAAAAACAAGATTGCAGATTTTGTGACTGTAGCTTGTGCTCATGCCATTAGGCCATTATTTCACTAATTTGGAGTCATTAATATTCTTCAGGTTTTAAAATTAAAGTTATTGTAGTTCACCTTTAACACATTTATCCAGAGCTATTTTAAGATGGGCACTTTCAAGATCAATATTGTATTTCCTTCCACTCAAATCTTGCCCCAGCCATGCCATTTCTGGTTTTAGTGGTTCGAGTAGAATAAATTGAGACTCATAACTGGGAAAGAATATTTTCCCTGCATACATTTAATATGAGAATAATGACACGGTGTGTGTTTCTAAGAAGTTAAGTAGCTTGTTAGGGATGAATTGCTAGTTTTCATTAACTGTGACTCTTTAACGGCAAAGACAGACTGGCAGCTGTATGAGTTCATGGTGTTGGTGAAAAAGAGATCCAGTACCTGTGCTTATATTTCAGAGTAGCAGCCATGTTAGTCTGTGTCCGTAAAAAGAAAAGGAGGACTTGTGGCACCTTAGAGACTAACCAACTTATTAGAGCATAAGCTTTCGTGAGCTACAGCTCACTTCATCGGATGCATTATATTATTATTTATAGAGAAGAGATCCCTCTAGCCAATAGATTTTGCACATGCAATACATTAAAACCTTTGGGTTTCACATCAGGAAAACTTGTAGTTTCCTGTAGTTTTTCAAAAATTTGGGGAAAAGACTGTTGTGGAAAGAAACATAAAATGTTACAGATCTCCTCAGGTGACTTTCTTCCACCTCTTGTGTCTTGTCATTATCCTAATTTTTATGTTTGTACAGCACCTAACACAATGCAGCCATGATCTGTGATTGGGGATTCTAGGAACTACAGTTATGCAAATAAAAATAATTAAAACCAAATGTGTGGATTTTTGTATAATTTTACCAGCAACTGCTGGTTAAGTCAGGAAGAAAGGAACATTAGTTTGTCTGAACCACTTAAAATAAAAAAATCCTTACTTTAAAATGTAGAGATGTGTGTAGCCCAATGTGGGGGAGAATTATTTTTTAGTAGTTAGGGAAGTCAGTGAAGAGAGAACTGGAGTCCCATGGAGGTCAGGGGACAATCTGATCCTCAATTTTAAAATAGGCTCCATGCTCTTGTAAAGGATGGACATTCGGTCTGGCATGCCAGAGGGCTTGCATGTGTATCAGGTTTGAATATTGATTGTTAAGGGATGGATTGTTACCCAGAAATGTTGAAACATCATGTATGCAAAGTAGAACTTCCACAGCTAAGGTTAAGACCAAGTCAATTGCTCTTCCTGCTCAGAGATGGATTAAATCTGAAATTCCAGCATTAACTTCCTTTGCCCTGCAAGGCTCATCACTGGGAATGAATTTGTTTCTTGCCCCCCCCCTTTTTCCTTTTGTTTTTTTCCCTGTTGTTTTTTATCCCCCCATGTTATGTTGTTACAGCACATAACATAATGGGGCCCAGATCCCTGAGTGCGGCTCCAACGCACAACTGTAACACAAAGAATAATACGTTGTTTCTGGAGGCAACGGGTTTGTGGAAAATGTCTTTATTTTTATAACTAAAATTAAGAAGCAAAACAGAAAATTTGTGGAACTTTACTAATTTCACCTATAGTCATCCTGGGTGGCTTAGATCAGGGAGTATGCAAAACAGAAATTGACGCACAATGCTTTTGCCTTGTTTTCCTAGTCTGTGCTCCTGCTGAATGGGTTTTGCACAAACAAGAGTTATGTAGCCCTAAAAGGACAAGAAAGAAAAATCCTTTGTGATTAGAAATATCTTGTTCACACTAGCATCTGGACTGGGGAATGCTGGCATTTGTGCAATGTGGAGAGCAAAATACTGTGAAATTACAAGAATAATCTACCCAGTGTCATTTACATGTACACATTAGAGAGAATGCATTGGGTATTGCTCTGCTTTGATTTTGGGGGGGTTTTAGGTGGCAAACACTATTGAAAAGAAAAATATTTTAATTCTGAACAGGTAATAGACTAATTGAAACCCAGACAAAGCAGCACAGCCTTATTTTCACCATCAGTGAACTTAGTCACCCTTGTGGGAGCAGACGCCTCTGTTCTCTCAGAGGATTCTACAGAAAGATTCAGTGCAATAGCTGGTCTGCGATTTAACAAGCTGGAATATTGCACATTCGTACAGGAGAAGTGAGTATTTAGGATTCAGCACAGCCTATCAACTGACTTGTTATTAATATCTTCAACTAAAAGTCATGCCAGCTCAGCAGGCCAACAGTCTCGTCTTCCTGCTGAACAACAGCATAAACCTCATTTCCCTTGGAACAGTCTCTGCCGTCAGTTGGGAAGTGTAATTAGAGCTTGGATGGTCACAGTTAAAATGATCAAATCCGGAGACCTAGAAGTTGTTCTTGAGATGAAGTATAAAGCATTATTTAATGTATTTTTACTGCTCTTCGTTTTCTATTGCAGGATGTCTGCAATGACCACTGCCATCCACGTCCACACTGCTCTGCTCAGAAGGACGCTAAACATATTCCAACGGGAGAGGCAAGCTTCACCAAGTCTCAGGGGGGTCACTGTATGTGTCAAGGCTGGGCAAGGCCTCAAACTGAAGATTTTAGGGAGGAATTTGAAAGCATTTCTGTCCCATTGAAATAGAATAATGTAATGAGGTAAGTTTAAACCACCTTGTGTTCAGTTAGGCCTCCTTAGACCTACTTACGAGTATGTACAAGAGGGGTATCTAATCGGTTGGTATAACTTAAATTGTGAGGGGATCTATGCTAAAGTCAGGTTTAGCTTATTTTATTTTACACATATTTATACCTCCAACCCCCCATGTTTGTTGCTGTTTTTGGTACGCTCCTTTTTCTGGCCCCTTGGCTTGTGAGTTATACCAATTTAGACTCAATCAAGCTGGGTGGACTATATTCAGAAGTGATGTGTAAGTGGGGATAGGTGTGCAACATGTTATAGATTGATAGAAAGCCACAAGGCTGAGGGAGTCCAGAGAGCTGGTGTGATGAGCACATTGAGGGGGCCAGGAGAAGATGTGAGTTACACATGCTTAAACTTGCCTCTGAATATGCCCTTTGTATCTATTCACTGGAAATATATCTACAGACAGAAATGGCAAATAGGAAGGTATCTGTGTTATTCATGAAGCGGTAGATGCTTGAGCACTTCACTTATGATATCTAAATGACTATAGTAAAGTTTAGAGCATCACTTATGGAAATGTAAGTAAAACGTTCAAAAACCATTCAAATTTCCCTTTCCTTTGGCCGGCTGTATCTAAATTGCTACTGGGAATTACAGAAGACTCTTATTTTGAGGCTGGGGAATAGAAAAAAAAGACAGTGCATTCTGGCTCTGTCATAGTGAAAATTACAGAAATGTCTTTGACGTCTCTTAGCATAAATGTTCATAAAACTTTGGAGAATAGATCCTTCAAGTCTATTGTTCTGTAACATATTTATTCACATCACAAAAGCTGCATTAAAATAACACTGAGGGTCTCAGAGATGCATTCACAGGGAAGGATTAACCTGCTAATCTGGCATCGTTGACAAGAGGATGTTTAGGGTGAGCTGCTTGGCTGTGTTTAAAGAAAGTTTTGACTCTTACGCTTACTACCTTTCCATACCAGCTCACACGGGATGCACCTTGGGCCTCTTCAGAGTGGTTACATCTTCACTTGTGTGTGTAAGACCCCACAGGTTTAGAACCCAGGACTGTAGACCTGCCAGGCAGCTGGCATCTCCAGGCTGCTAGTGACAGCTGCGACCAGCTTGTGGACACAGACCATATGTACCATGGGAAGTTGGGTCTGACAGGCAGCAGCCTCATGGTGCCTGATTGGCTCCCTGCCCTATTTAAACCCAAAAAACATTCCAGGAAGTCCTGGCAACAGCATGGTTTGCCTATAGCTGCCATGATCATTCCTGCTCCTGAATTCCTGGCTTTGACCTCGGCTTGATTTGAACTTTGCCTCCTGACTCAGAGCCTGAAACTGGATTCTGACTGTGGCCTGGAACCTGACTATGAACTCCTCTGCTATTTCCAGCCTCAGCTTTGCACCTGCTCTGACCCTTGTTGGGATCCTGACAGTGTGTGATGATTTGAATAAGGGCCCCCCATACTTCCTATAGGACACCCTCTAGTGAACCTTTATATGCTTAGGGGCTGTGAGGAGAGACAAGATGGCTTTGTGGTTAAAGTTCAGAACTGGAAGTCAAGAGATCTCAGCTCTATTCCTGGCTGTGCCACAGATTTAATGTGTGATCATGGGCAAATCCCTTATCTTCATCTTTGACCATTTTTTCCCCTAAAGGGTATACTCTGTCTCAAACAGAAGTTATGGGCTTGATGGAGAAATTACTGGGTGAGGTTCTATGGCCTGTGCTATGCGGGAGGTCAGACTAGATGATCATAATGGTCCCTTCTGGCTTTAAAATCCATGGAAAAAGGATACAGTGTTTACCTACTTCACATCTTAATTCATTAATATTTGGAAATTGCTTTGAGAACTTGGGATAAGTGCAAAGAATAAGTGTCGTCTCTTGTTTTTAAAACCTTCCATCTGAAATCTACGTATGTCTTTTAGGCTGCATGAACAATTTTACAAGTTTCCTTTTTTACAGTTTTTTTCTCATTCTCCCTCTGATTTTTTTCCAAAATGAAAAATAATTTTGCAGAAATAAACTATCGTTTCAAAATATCTATCTCTTAAAATGTCCTTGCCACATGGGACAAATTAATTGAAATTTACAAATTTGCCGTGTAAGAGTTTCACCAACTTTTCCATACAGAGCTTTATTTGGAGCCAAAAATAGTGATATTTTGCCCTTGCAAAAAGTCTTTTAAGGTGAACATTTTCATAGTGAAAATTGCCTTTCATGCAGCGCATTGAAACCAGTGACAAGATTTAAAGGGTTTGTGTCTCTCATTAGTTCAATGTGATTTTATGTGACTGCAGGCTGCATCTTCAATGCAAAATAACTAGATCCCTTCTTGAAAGAACTGCCATTTCTCTCAGCAAATATTGGTTCCAAACTTACAAAGGGTCAGAGAACATGGCTGCCACTGAGCGCAGCAGACAAGCTTCTTATTAATTACTGCTGGGAAAAAGTTGACATAAACCTCCCTAAATGAATTAAGAAAGGTAAATCTACTGATTACTCCACAGGTTGCTTGCTGGCCTTCTCTTCCTGTCAGAAGGAGATTAATACAGAAGCTGCCTCCTCCAGTCTTGCTAATAAATATTCACTGAGCCATTCTCAGAGAGATTTGATCCTGATTCTGGAGACATGCATGCAGCCTGGCTGTGAACCCTGGGGATTCAGATCAGCAGAAGGTAATCAGTTTAAACTTACAAATTTTATGAAGTTTATTTCTTATCTTCTGAAGTTATTTTTAATATAGAAAATAGATATTTCCTTTTTTCTGCTTTTTAGTGCTTTTGCCTGTCTCCACAAATCTGAGAAGCACATGACAGGAGAATTAATCTTAAAAAGGTACAAAACTGAATATTTAAATGAGGGGGATCACGGAATTCTGTACACTAATGAGATAAGCTGCTTTGAGTGAAGGCTAGTGCAGCTTTGGCCCATTTAAAGGCTTCTGATATGATCTTCAATTCTGAGGAGATAAAATGGGGCGGCTTCTTTTCTCAAGTGGGATCCTGCTCAGTATAAATTACACAGGCTTCTTTTTCCCCATGAAGCTTACCCTGAGAGAATAGTTTCTGCCTAGCTGCCACCTTGTTCGCCTACCCCTCTGTATCTGGCTGGCACAGAGAAGCCCCTATTGATGAATACTGGTTTTTGGTAAGATATAGGAAAGGTGTATCTTACACAGAAATTGAATTAGTAGGGAGCAAAAACCATTCCTGAACATGGTTGGTAAAGGTAACCTGGACATCACAAAACGCCACCTTTCTCTTGTCCAAGGACACTCTCTCTTACACAGTTTGCAGTGCATCTTGCTTGTTTGTTTGTTAATATATGGTTATCTGGCACGTCAAAGATTAGATGTTTGCACACTCATATGCAGGTTGTCATGCAGCAAGAGAACTACACATCACTATATAAGAATATTTTGAATTGTACTGCTTCCCTTCACTGCATTTTGCAGCCTTCCACTGTCCCAGATGTTGCTTGAATGTCTTTCTGGTCTATCTTCAGCAAGTCGTTCCCCTGCAGCTAATTAGCTGCTTTGTGCATATGGGGAAGTGTTTTATTTGCATGATCAAATAATCAGCAGGTTATTGGCCCATCCATACTTGGCTCTCAGTTCTGTTCTCATAAATTCTGGTAAAACCTAAGTCAAGGGAGAGTAAAGGGTTACTGTGATCCTGAGAACAAAAAGCCCATTCCACAGGCGCATAGTGTATCCTTCATGAAAAGCTCAATGCACAGTGCCTGGGCTCGTGGAATTTCAAGGCAGAACAGCCCAGAGACAATTAGATGAGGGCTTTTCCTTTCTGAACAAGCGTTATTCAGATTGATATTTTAATTACATTTGAGGTAATAAAACAAGATTTCGAGAGTGAGATACAGAAAGGAGAGGAGGAGACTGCATGTAGGAGGGAGGCACAGTCCACCTCCTCCTAGTTCAGTCACCATAAGAACAGGTCACCGAAAGTTTTAGTTAGGCCCAGCGTCCACTCCCCACTATCAGTTATTCTCTCCAGCCCAAAGATTGCTTCTCTTCCATTCTTAGGAACAGTGACATGGCCGAGTGGGAGGGTAAGGATCACACTGTCTCTTTAATAATAAATATATATTTCGCAATTGCATCTACATAGGCAATTAAATCAAACATATTAGTCTAAATGTCATAACCATTCAATGGCTGAGGGAAGGGTATTATGAAGGGCATCCATGAAGGAACCAGGCAGCCCTTGCCAATGGGTGCAGCCTGTAAGTATGTGGCCTATATCCTCCCACATAAACACTTCAAAGACCTCTTTCTTCCATGTAGAGCTCTCACAGAACTGTTACAATTTAATGGAACATTAATGGGTGTAATTGAGCATATGCAGAATATCGACCTCTTGTCATCATCCCAGACAACTGCAGTGCTGACAAAGCAAACTCAATCTGCTTCTTCACCAGTGGAAGGGTCTGGTGAAAAGTCAGTCAGTCAGTCCTAGGAAGGCCCCTTTGATGTACTTACCATTTTCTATCTGAATTCACTGCCATTCAGTCCTCCCTGGAGCACTATGAGTGACTGAAGAGCCCTGCCTGGTGATAGGCAAAATTGAGCATGTTAGTCTTTTTAGTCTGGAAACCTTTCTAGGGCCTGCCATGTGCTTACTGGTCCCACAAAGAAGCTGAAGATGGAGACAATGGTAACTAGCAATTACAGGGGAAGAGGATTGTGCCCAGTTCGTATTATCTGAGCAGAGAGAGAGGAAGAGGAACTGCTGACTAGCATATTGGGATATATGTATGCTGGTGTACACTGTAAAAATGGCTCTATGGGCCTTCTTGTGCTCCAGGACTACTCCCTGATTAGAGCAGGTTCTATTTCCTGATCCTTTCTATATAAATTATATTACAAATTCATTGCTAGTATAGGAATATAAAAATAATTGCATCTCGGAATGGTACATTGTATCATCTGAAGCCCTGAAAGATTCTGGCTTGCATATGTGTATATATGTTAGAAATACATCTATCATTTTAGATCGCTGTAGCATTATAGCTTCTGTCTTTTTAATGTGTACAGCATATTAATTTGCATGGCTTTTCAGAAAAGGACTAGTTTATTAAGGTTCGAAATCAGATGCATGTGGGATTCTCATGTAGCTATGGATTATGCAGCTGTCTCCTATCTTTTACTCTGAAAAATATTATGAAATCGAGAAGTGCTATATTTGATATTGTCTCCTGGGAGCAGAGCACATGATGACTAGACTTCCACAGTAGAAGAGATAGGTGAGGAGGTTAAGTAAATTTTCTTTGTGTAGTTCCCATTAAACTTCAATCAGAGTTACAGAAAGAAATTTCCTTTAGGCTTCTGTGAATACAGGTATTGGTTTGACTTTAATAAAAGTCATAACTGATCTCTGAGGTCTCCTGTGAAATGAGCTCAGCAAAATTCAGGCAAGTCCTTTGAGAGGCAAAGAGCCCCACTTAAACATCATATTATCCTAATAATCCCATTCCAGAGCAGTCGTCCCATTATTTTAAAGGTCTTAATTTGCAAATTGTGATATTTGAAAGTTTTTTCTTTCTACATTATCAAAGAAAGTGAAGTGAGTATTTCTGAGAGATGATCTATTTACAGAAACATTCTCCTTAAAGAAATAAAGAACAATTGCTAAATGATTTCAAACAACAATGTAAATTTGCATGACATTCTTGATAGGGCCACTCTTAGCTTGTATTCTCTGTTGAAGCTACATTGGCTTGAGGCCAGGAGCCTGTATCTATTTTAATGAACTTCACCAAAAAAGAAAAATGTTCCTTCATGATCTTGAAATGGACAGTGGGCTGGATTCAGTGAAAGGATTACAGGGATTATTAAAAAAAAAAAATTTAAAGAAAATTGCTTTGTTGCTCTTTACCCACTTTCCAATATTAATAAATTAATCTATAGATGGCAATGACGATTCTACTGTCCCGATTTTTCAAAATGCTGTGCACCCATGGCTTCTATCGACTGCAGTGAGAGCGAGGGTCTCAGCACCTTGGAAATCAGGCCATATAGTAATAGTGAATTAACACATGTGTAAATAATAACACACTTCAGCAATTATTAATTGCTGCTTTTTCTGGACACAGAGAAATGTGAAATATCTATCACACCCCTTTTGTGCTGAATTGATCCTGTTGTGGAGGTTGTTTGATTTATTTAACATTATACGAAAGTCTCTAAACACTACTGAATTATTACTAATATGTAACACTCCTGTCTTCATCATGCTATACAAGTGTTTACCAAATAGAATTACAAAGTGTTTAGAGAGAGCAGCAGAATCACTACTGAATGTAGCGGTCTCTTGGCTTCCCTCATTCTCAGCTGTTCAACAACGGACAGCAGCACCACATAAAATACTAGGATAGGAAGTGAAAAATAAAAATTCTGCAGAAGGTGCAGTTGCACAGGGTAGGCAACATCCCTAGTGGTTTAGAAAAATGGACATGCACTTTGGAAATTGTCAGCTGTGGGACAAAACGTGGTTTTGGTTAGTGATTTTTCAAGCGTAGGCAGGAAGTTTTGCTGCAAGTGTGGCCATTTGTTAGTGTGGAACATTTCTTCGGGGCAGGCAGAGATTGCAATGCTGGAGCATTCCTCCTGCTAGAGATCTGAATGAAGGCAACGCCTGCCTTTGTATAGTTAGCTGCCCTTCTACTCTCCAGCTTGCATATTTTGCCAAAACAAATTAATTGGTTCATTGGCTTTCCTTCTTGGGTTTTTATATTGGAAAGTCTGCACTAGATAATGGAATCAAGCCAGTGAAAGCTGACAAACTTGAGTAGAAATCTCAGGCAATCAGGAGCTAACTATACTAAACAGGTAAAAGTTCTTACTCTGAGGAAAGGAAGCCTGGCTGAATGGAATTTTGTTTAATTTCCTTCTCACTCTTGGGAGGGTTCAGATACATGAATTAATCCCAACCAGTTGCAGAGTCCAGGGAGGTTCCCAGCCAACTGAATGAAATGGAGGGTTTATGAATGAAATGGAGGGTTTATGCGGCACAAGCCACTTCCAGCCTCAAAGAAAATGGCTCCTTTGCTTTATTGAGTGCTGCTGAATAACTTAACAATGTGCTCGGTCACTTGCAATGTGCAGATACATTTTCACAGACAGACAGATTTCTCCATTGGAAGAGTGTCTTTGAGGCACTGCAGAATATTTCTGCAGGTGGGAGAAGGCTTTAGAATTTTGCATTGTTACTACTGCTTTAGTCTTTCATTGACCCATTCAGCTTCTTCAGTGGACACAGCAGAGGAGTGTCAATATAGTGGAGACGTAATAAAGTACATCCTATAAGTTGTAGCCTATTCTGAAGACTGCAGGATAGAGTTAATTTTTGAAGATGTCTTATTTTATGTAAGGTGCGCTCTTCATTATTTGCATTGTGCCTCCTCCATACTAGGGCATCTAGGACTGGGAAAGGGTCACACTAGGGAGATGATTTAAATTTTAAAGTGCATTAAGCAGAGTGGGTGCAGTGCAGCTGGAAAATGGAACCCTTATTCAACCTGGATCTGACATTTTAACTACATGGCAGCAGCGGCTTCAGGCCCATCGATGGCTGAGCTGGGCTCTGCAGGGCAACAGCTGGTAGTTGTGCTGTGCTCCTCCCACTAGCTTTGCTTTGGAAAGCTTTGAAATAAACTTCTGTTTTCTTCTGCTCCCCACAATGGAGCTCAGATGAGAACAGGGAGGCAAAGAACTGGCAGAGTTTTGCTGGAGGCCTTTGGAGTCTCTTGTCAGAGCGTTGGCTTCAGAGCTTCAACATTCACTTATTTATAAACAAGACAGTGCCAGCAAACATCAAT